AGCACTCCCTCCTTCGTCTTGTCCGCCAGCGGACAATGCTTGGACACCGCGGCCTTTTGTTTCTTCCACACCGCCTGGCCGCTGACCCCGGATTGTTTGCAACTTGATGGGCCGAATGCTTGCCTCTAAATTGGGGCACCGCCTATCAATCGACCGGTTTCATTATCCTGCCCCATCATGGATTGAACGACAAAAAGTCACGACTTCCCGACGTTCTAGTGGTAGCTGCCCCATCCTTTCCAGGGCTCCTCCTTTCAAAAAAACAACAAAAACATAAACCATTGCTGTATAAGGTTTGTTGGAACAGAACGCTGGCAGAGAAGAATGAGGACGTCTTAAATAGGGGGAACCGTAAAACAGTTGGCTTTCCTTTGGCGTCCGGTTACACAGCAGCCCCACAACCGGGCACCCTCAAAAAGATCTCACCCACCTGAAAAGGAAACTCCGACCGCCAGTGGTCAAAATCCCGGTTTGCCCTCCAGTGAACATCCCAATCCAACCACTAAAATAGGTTCTAAAGTGGGTGGTGAATTCACCTACCAACCAAAATGGGACCCCGAAACGGTTTTGACAACCACAGCCAGTGGCTTGGGCTCGGGAGAAGAACGGGCGCATGGCCAAACGCGGCGCGCTCCTCGTGGAAAGGGCTCTTCTTGCGGCCACCCAGGAAGTTCGAGCTGAAGCTCACTCCGCCTCGGAGCCAAAGCCTTCGACAAAACTGAGCTTGCCGCAAGATTAGAAGACCCCCGATGGTTTGGATGTCCTTTGCAACAACCTCCCCCCCCACAAAACAGAAACAAAAACTCAAAAGACAACATGCCTCATTTCGTGGTTACGGGATGCCATTCTGAGCGGACCAGTAAAACCTAAACACGGTCGCCCGCTGTTGTTTATTTACCGTAGCAAAACTTCTGCTTCATAGGCAGCGAGCAATCAGCGCGAATCGACTTTCCTCGAGCCCGCTCATTGCCCAAGTCTTGGGTCCCGGCAGCTCCCGGAGTCCGCTGCTTGGTAGGACACGAGGTCGGCGTCACGAACCAGTTGCACCACGGAGTCCAAGTCTTTTGTGACCTCGGGACCGCTGGCCCGGGGCGCCCGCTGGCGATGGCCGCGAGCGGGCTTTGCCAGTGGGAGAAGCAGTGCAGAAAGAGCTGGCCATGTGGCCCTTTGTTGCGGGTACCCTTTTTGGGAGGGTGCTAGGTAAACAACCCCTTTGGGCGTTCCCCAATGAGACAACCCATTTAAGTGAGAAACTGAACTCAGCTCAGGGCAATGAAATCCGCGTCCATGTAAATTCCCCCGTGGTGGTACAGCACGGCGTAACGGATCATGTCCGACTTTGCGGCAGGGTAGGGCAGGCGAAAATACTCATCTGGAAGATCTGGTATGTACATGCGCACGTTAAGGTCGTTGATGAGAACTGGCTCGTTGCAGAGTCCTCATGCGTGGCCGCAGATTTACATGGAATCCCCCAAATCCACGACAATGTCAAGGTCAGTTGATTGTTTTTAGCTTCCGCATGCAAGATTCGGTGTGATAAAATACCCCCCCAAAAAACTTAATACAACACAAACAAGTGGTTCTCCATGTGTGGCAAAAGCCAATTTTGAGAACACCAAGATGCCTTGCCAAGTTCCTTGGCCTATATAACCCAGTTTAAGGGGGACAATGCATCCCGTGCTTCGAGGCGCCATGAGCATGACGGCGCCACGACTCCACGGCCAAAACGTTGAAGAGCGGAGGCCGGCTAGAAAACTCCCAGAGGGTGAAGATGTTGCAAAGCTTGCCTGAGCCAATCTGGGGATTTGGACCGGCGGTCCTTTCCGCTCCCTTTAAAGCAATCTCAACAGAAATGTCCCTCGAAAAAAGACAAACACACACACACAAAACCATGTTCCTAAAGGCCACAACGCTTGGACGGTTTGCCTTTGGCCCCAGGAAAGAATTAGTGGGCAGCTGAAAAGAGATCTGAGGGGGGTTGGTGCCAATTCAGGAAGCACACCCCCTTCGCAAGAACATCTTAACCCTGAAACGGTGTCGTGTGAATGACTTGAATCCGCCCGGCGGGACAAAGAAACTCTTGTGGGGGTGGCCATCCTGATTGAGGAACCAATCGAAAAGTTTTCAGGATGAGATCAACTGAGCTGTCATAGGCCAGAAACCCGGGTTGGGCGATTCTGCCACCTGTTTAAACCATGGTTCAGTCAAAAGTGGGGGCCACAAAAGCTTTCCTAAAAGCCAGCAAGGGCTGGATCTTGATCTGCCCAAAGGCAAAAAACCCTGGCGCCCACTTGGGTGTGTTCCACGAGGAAAGCCGTTTTTTCAGGGAGGGTCCAGCCAAAAAAGAGACGAGCCCCCTGCCCACGCCAGGCTGCTGTTATTGGCCTTTGCAAGCTCCCGCTCCTTTCACTCACCAAGCTGGAATGGATACTGTGGATCCATTTCGCACCGCTTTGAAACCGTGGGGGGAATAGAACCATTCCAGGATTTCCTGGGTGGTGCAGGATTTCGTCCATCCACAGTAGCCAGAATAGTAAAGGAGTCGGCCGCTGATATTCTGACATGTTTTCATGGCCACTTCATTGTCAGAAGCCAATATCGAAGGCTAGGCATGGCTTGCCAAACGAAAAATCTCGTCCGGCGCGCTGCGTCATGTCGGTTTTCACGCAGAATGGGTCAAACAGACACCTACCCGTGCGACCGGCCGAACCGGGTTGGTCTGTGAAGAATGGTCTGAGGAGTCCAACCACCCTCCCTGACTCCCTGCCCTCGGAAGTATTTTGCTTCTGCTCGTCGAGTACAGCCGGATGGGTTCGGGCCACGGGCGAGTGTCAAGATAGCAAACAGAGCAGAAAGGGCAAACAACCCCGGCGCAGGTTTTGATAACCCCCAGAAACACCCAGGGTGATCGACCCTGGAACAAGGAGACGTTTTTTTTGGGGTGAAGGCGGCCTTAATGCCTCTACTTGATAGAACAGTTTGCCACTTGAGCAAAGAAAGCGCGCTTCGGGCGCCTCTTGATTTGGGGGAGGCACCATTTTAGAGGGGATCCTTTATGTTTTCGGGAAGCACACCCCGCATTCACTCATCCCCAGCCCCTCAGGCCAAACGGAGAAGGAACCCGGATCCTATCATCCCACCATTCCACATCATAGTACTCTATACAGATTGGCATGGAACCCAGATGGCAGAACCTCCCTTCCATTTCCCCCCCCTCTCCCTCCCAGTTTTGGGTTCCACGTTTATTTGCAGGAGTAGCCCGAAGGAAACTCCTCTTTGGGGGACCCTCCCCCAAATGAAAGAAAAATCGCACCCTACAGACCATGAAGCCCCAGAAACATGGTTGAAAATCCAAGGGTTGTGATTCAATGGTTAACAAGGTCAAAGGCTGCTTCCGGGCCCGAACAACGGAGGTCCTGAGCGGCTTCCACCACCGCGGAAGCCTCCAGCTGCAGGGCCGCGCGCATCGCCGCGGGGTCCGTGAAGTGGGCCAACCACCTATGGGAGGGCCAGTGAAGGGCGGGGTGGGGAGTGGGGCTTGGGGTGGGTGGGGGGGAGGAGGTGGGGCCGTCTTTCTTTGTCTAAGTCCGCCAGATTAACATGAAAGCCAACAAAAACGGGAAGGATATTTAAAAAAAAAAAACAAAAACATAATAACAATCAAAAATAACTTGTTTAGAAATCAACAAAAAACTGTCTTAGCCATCAAGAAAAACCTTCATGCACTCAGGGCTGCATTTAATGAGAAACGTGTGTATCAAAAGGAACATGCAGCGCACGCGCACGGACAGAACAAGTCATGATTTAATTAGGGGTAAAAAATCTAAACAGTAGCGGGGGGGTTGGGGGGGCGGCAGCCCCCCCATGATGATCGAAAAACGGATGATTTAATTAGGGGCAAGAAATCTGAAACCAGCGAGGGGGCAAAAAATCTAAAAAGTAGCGGGGGTTGGGGGGGGCGGCAGCCCCCCCCATGATGATCGAAAAAGTGATCATTCAAATTGTGGCCAAACATCTGAAAGTAGCGGGGGGGTTTGGGGGGGGCAGCCCCCCTATGATGATCCAGAAAGTGATGGTTCAATTCGGGGCAAAAAATCTAAAAGTGGCGGGAAGTTGGGGGGGGGGGCTGCCGCATGACGATCAAAAAGGTGATGATTCAATTAGGGGCAAAAAAGCTACATAGTACTGGGGGTTGGCTCCCCCCATGATGATCGAAAAAGTGATGATTGGCATTTCAATCGAAAGGGGGGCAAGAGGAACTGGCGATGCTGAGGATGCAGGAAGCCACGGCCAAAAACCAACTGGGAAAGCAGAGGATGCAAAAAGCCAAAGCCAGCAAGCTGCCAAAAGCCACAACGCCAAAAAGCCACCTGAAACTGGTAATGCAGAGGATGCGAAAAGCCAAAGCCGCAAAAGCCGCATAAACCCAACAAAAAGCCGCAAAAGCCAAACAGAGAGGAACTCAAAAGACCAAAGGATCAAGAGACCAAAGGACCAAGGGACCAAGGGACCAGAGGACCAGGAGATGCAAGGATGAAGGGGCCAAGACCAACGGAGCAGAGGACCCAAAGGACCAAAGATCAGCAAACAAAGATAACCAAAGGACCGAGGGACCAGAGGATCAAGGGCTCCAGGACCAAGGGACCAAGGACGAGAGGAGCAAAGGACCGCAAAAGGAAGGGACCAGGAAAGTGGAGGACCGAGAAAAACAAGGGACCAAAGGAGCAATAAAAGACCAAGAGACCAAAGGACCAAGGGACCAAAGGACCACGGGACCAGGGGTGTTCAAGGAACCAGAAAATCAAATGACAACCAAAAGAACACAAAATAAGAGCAGCAGAGTGAGCTTGTGGAAAGTTTATTGTTGATTGCTAAAAAGTTTGTTGATGGCTGAAAGTTTTGTGTTGGTTGCCAAAAAAAGTGTTTTTGATGGTCATCCCAACACAAACAAGGTGCCGGCAGCGTACTGAAAAACCTCAAGACGGTGTTCTCTTTTTGGGGTTTTTTGCCTTTCGCTAAGGCGAAATAACTGTAATTGGACTCCTTCCACGGCAAGTGAAGGTTTCGGACGCCTTTTTTGTCACCAGCCGAAAGGCTTCTTGCGTGCAGAAGACAAAACAGGCTACGCCTTCCTGCACAAGACGCCGAGGCGATCAAAAACAGGCCTTTCTGACGATGAGCATTGCTGCGCGCACGCAGTCGAGCGGAGGTGCTTATGATGTGCATAACTATGAGCATTGCTGCGCGCACGCAGTCGGGCGGATGTGCTTATCATGTGCATGACTATGAGCAGCGCTCGGCGCACGCAGTCGGGCGGATGTGCTTATCATGTGCATGACTATGAGCATCGCTGCGCGCACGCAGTCGGGCTGATGCGCTTGTCCTGCGCATGACTATGACCATTGCTGCGCGCACGCAGTCGGGCGGACGTGCTTATCATGTGCGTGAATATGAGCATTGCTGCGCGCACGCAGTCGGGCGGACGTGCTTATTATGTGCATGACACTGAGCGTTGCTGCGCGCACGCAGTCGGGCGGATGCGCTTATCATGTGCATAACTATAAGCATTGCTGCGCGCACGCAGTCAGGAGGAGGTGCTTACCATGTCCATGACTATGAGCGTCGATCGCGCACGCAGTCGGGATGATGTGCTTATCATGTGCATGACTATGAGCCTTGCTGCGGGCACGCAGTCAAGCGGATGTGCTTATCATGTGCATGACTATGAGCATTGCTGCGCGCACGCTGTCGAGCGGACGTGCTTCTCATGTGCATGACTATGAGCATTGCTGCGCGCACGCAGTCGAGCGGACGTGCTTATCATGTGCGTGACTGGGCGGATGCGCTTTTCATGTGCATGACACTGAGCGTTGCTGCGCGCACTCTGTCGAGCGGATGCGCTTTTCATGTGCGTGACTATGAGCCTTGCTGTGCGCAAGGAGTCGGGCGAACGTGATTACCATGTGCATGACTATGAGCATTATTATGTGCGTGACACTGAGCGTTACTTGCGCGCACGCAGTTAGAGGGAAGTCCTTCCCAACACTGGCGAAGACTCTAAGGGGCCGGCGCCTGACCATGAAACCCAATGAAACCTGAGAACAAAGGGGCTCTAGAAAGCTGCTGACCTGAAAAAAACTATAAAAAACGCATGGGGCGGTTCAGGCGCCGGCACCAAACACGAGCATGGTGCTTGAGGAACCTCGACCAGTCTCTTTGGGGGAGATACACTTTTTGCTGGGCCTCCATGTTGAACTGCAACAAGCTTCCCATGTGTCCCGGTTCCAAATGTCCATCTGGAGGTCCCAACATGTGCTGCCGAGGGCACGTGCTGTTGCCCCAGATCGTGGCCGCCAAAGGCACGGCCGCCAGGAGCCCCAGACCTAGGCCGGCGGCGATCCTCGTTTTTTACTGAAGCTGACCTATGCAGAATCTCATGTAACATCCCCCTCCCCCGGAACCTCCGTTTGGGGACACCTCGCTTTTGGGTCCCCCACCCTTAAAAAAATGAAAGGGGGAGGAATCTCCATTTGGGGGAAGCCTCGCTTTTGTGTTCCAAATTAACTTGAGGAGCACCTACCAGAAGGAGATGCACAGCAAGCTAGAGTCAGCCCGCGGGGCAGGAGAAGCACATGCGCGAGCGAGTGCATGGCCCCGATCGTCTGCTACCTGAGGTAGGGACAAGCACAAAGAAAATAATCACCAAAATCAGCTGTCCAAAACTCAGGCGTCTCAGGCGATGCATCCCATTCATTCCATTTATGCAATTTACGCCGTGTGTGCCATTTGTGCCACTTATGCTCTTGTCCCACGCACGGGGTAGCACAAACCAAAGGATGATGTCAACTTCGGCATGCAAATCGACTGGTCCGAGAGTGCAAGGAGAATACTCCAAACCATCCCCTCTGTGGGGCTCCATGTTTGTGGATGGGAGGGCATCTCTCACTTTGCTTTTTGGGTGGGCGCGCCGGCGCCCATCGGCTCCTGCAATCAAGTGTCGCTTCACCATCTTCGAAGCCCTGGCAGCCCTGAGACTTCACTGCTCACGCACACGCTCGCCCCGCGAACCACGAAATCGCAATGGACGCAATGGACACTGGCCTTCCCAAACGGGTGTCTTCTTTTTCAGGGGGCCCACCAAACGCATTCGTGCGCCCTTCAAAGCCACCCCAAATGGTACCCTCAAAAAAGACTCGCCCAAATTGTGGTTGGTGTGGGTATGATGCTTCATCTGCAAAAAAACGTGTCCATCCGGGCATAACTTGCAGTGGGGGACCCTTAGGCGGACATCTTTTGTAGGAGCATTTGTGTCCAACCACCTGGCAGCATTCCAAATTCAAATGTGTAGGCACAAGACTCCTCAAAAGCGCGTGTGAACAACACTTGAAACCATTGGACTGCGGAAAATGCCTTCCAAGTGACACAAGAGTATCACTCGGCACATCTCCCCGGACGTCATCGCATAGCAGGCTGGCCTAAGCCTGTGATCTTCACATATCCTGGGCCCTGGCTACTCTCAGCGCTTTGCGCCTGCGTCAAGTCCTGCGTCAAGTGGGTGTTTGTTCGTTGTTGTTGTTTTGTGTCTCTTTTTTGTCTTTTTTTTTCTGAAGTTGGTACCCTGTGGGGGACTGGGGGCTGTGTTGCAGGACACGGGATGGACAAACATTTTCTTTGGGCTCCCTGCTTTACGGGCAAGCCCCAACAAATGCTGGTTCTGTTTGCCCCTACTTTGGGGGGTGCGCTCTCATTTCGAGAACAATCTTCTGGTCATTTGGTGCCAAACCAAATGTTTTGCTTCTGGTCACTGGCATTGGTGAAGCGTCAGCATGCTGAGGTGGGGTGAAGCAATCTGGATGGCTGAAAACCACACGGCTCAAAATCGGATTTCAACCTTCGAGTGCCAGGTCGGGCTCAACCGCCAAGTGCTGCTGGACCTTGCTACAAGGATGTCATGGGCTTCCTAAGAAGCTTGCAATATGCATCGTGACACACAATGATCAAGGCTTCTTTGCAATGAATGAAGACCAACATTTTGCGAGGCAAAACATGGAGTTGCTAGGCAACATTGCAAGCTTCACAGCAGGACTTCACCGTCTTTCACATCCTGGAACCGTCTTTCACTAAAGGGCGCCTGGGCGTCCCATCAAGGCTGGGCGCACGCCTTTTCAAGGCTTGACTCCCGGAACACTTTGCCCCCTCCACAAGAAAGCCGCAGCGACTGTTCCTTAATGTTGACCCTAGATCAATCAACCCCAAATTATTGATTTGGGGGTGTTCTCCTCCAAAAGTGATGAATCCCCACATGTCACCCAAAAACACCCCCTAGCAAACAGGGGCTATGTTAATATGGTGTTGCGAGAAGCGCTGAGGCGCGAGAAGCAAACTTTTGTCCGCAGCCTCGAGTGGCACAAGATGTTCCTGCTGCGGGGGTTCCTGAAATCAATCTTAAAGCTCCGGAAGAAAGGCGCTGGGCAAACGGCGCCAGAAACTGCCTCGATTGCAACAGGCGCCACGTGTCATGGCTGCTTGGAGGTGTGCTTCGAAGGGAAGCAGCCCATCAAAATCACACCGAAAAGAGGGGCATCCCTGCAATGACAGGCGAGTTTCGCCAGGCAAGCTGGGTTGAGAAGGAAAGCCTTTGACAAAATCGACAGCACGCACGGCCTGTCAAACTTGTGCAGCATCACTTAAAAAGCGAAACGACTGGACTCATCACTTGCTGACTTGAGCAGCCCTATCAATCTGGGCTGTTCAAAACATGCTGGCCAACCCAACCCGTAACCCCTATTGAAAAACAAGAAGACAGGGGACCCATTTCGAAACCCAAGCTAAGGACTGAGGATTGCCTCTGAACATCTTTGAACAGCCAACTCAATCACTGTTGGCTGAGAAGGTCACGTTGGCAATTCATGGACTTGATTTCAGCAACAATCTTCTTCGGTCGTCTTGAGCACCTTCCATGAGCGCAGTTCTTTGCAAGGTTCGAACAACCTTTCTGCCCCAAAAGCGCACCAGCCAGCGAATGTCTTTCCCAGAGGCCTTCGCCTAACAAGGTTGGCCACATTGGACATCGCAGGGCACGCGTGCAAATTGCCATGGACATACCGTGGATGGTTGCGAAATCCATTTCGCGCCACCGTTCAGAAACCCTGGTTTCTGATTCGATTCCCCAACGTAAATACCAACAAGCCATGGTAACTCATTTCGCGGTGCAATGAGGCCGTTTGAATCGTACCCTTTGCTCTTCATATCTTTGATCGCGGCTCCCCCTTGACTCAGCGGACCATCGCTTCGCCTAGTGGCATCCTTGCCTAGAAGCTACTGGGCCTTCCCTATTGGGCCCAACACAGCGGTAACACAAGGTCAGGGCTTGCAAGGACACTTTCGCATCCGTATTACTATCTTAAAGTGCCCTGACCGGGCCATCTTCCGGCCTCCTCGCCTATGCACACGGCTACGCCTTGTTCGGGCTGTACACACTTTTCGCCCACTTCTCTGACGCCTCTTTGCTCGGGATGTCCCATTCTGACTCCCCCTCCGTCTCACCCTTGTAGAAGTGCTCCGTCAGGTCAGCGAGCCCCACCACTTGGCCTGCATCCGCATCGAATTCCTCCATGACGTACCTCAAGAGCTTGTTCCTCCATGCTGGAAAATTGTGAAGCTTCTGGCCCACCAAGTTTGCCACATCACCCACAGCGGCTCTGAACTCTTCTTCATCAGGCACAGCTGCCCGAGGCAGCTCGCTCTTGATGGCCTCTTTTTCGACCTTCGCGGCCGCCTCAGCCTTCAGGAACTCCGAGGTCGCCCCACCCGCCGCCATGATTTGCTTAATGGCCTTTCCCCACCATTGACTACCGTCGGGCAACGGGTCGACCGTCTCCTCCCTCAGCATATTGCCGTAGGCGCTCAGCACCTGTTCCATCTGCTTGGCCGCACGGTCTATCATGGCCGCTCCGGACTGAACCTGGACCATGTTGGTATTCTTGGTGTAGGTGTACGTCACCTCCGTGCCCGCCCCGCGGAAGAGCTTCTCATTCACCTTCTCAAGCGGCGCTCTCATTTTACACTGACCCATGTTCTGCACCGTTCTTGAACTCTTGCTCGCTTTCCGAGACGCCCTCCACATACTTCTAAAATTGGCCCTGATCTCACCCTCCTTGAATCCCTGCACGGGCACCTTGACCATTGGCACCGCCGATGCCGATGCCGCGAACCACACTCCTGCCACTGGCGCGCTCTGCATTTGAGCCGGTTTCCTAGCCTTTCGGGCTTCACGTTCCGTGGCAGCAGCTTCCATCATAACACTCTCCTGACAAAGCTGATACTGACCTTTCCGCATGGCTGCCCGTAACAGGTCCATCGCGTCTGCATTTTCCTTTGTCAGGGCATCCGCCAGTTGCAACCAGGTAGGGGCCCACCTCACATGTGCACCCATCCTCCTCAGTGATTCCCGCACAACCACCAGGTCAATTGCAACTCTCTTGTCTCCCACTGAGTTAGGGCTTGTAAATGTTTGCAAGTGATCGTAAACAGATTTACAGTCAACGATAGCCTGGATGTTGAACTTCGGCAACACCAAATGTCTTTCCTTCAGATTGATATCCCCATCAATCAACTCCCCAAGATGACAGGCCAGCCACTCTGCGTGCCCGAGCCCATCAGCCAGTGCTTGCGTTTCCCCCGCAAACGTTGACCCAACGACCCGCTTCAATCTGTAAGAACGCCAGGCTGCCGGAGTCCAAGGTGCTGTCTTTCCGTCAGCCAAATTGCGATCCGTCACGCCTACGATGTAACCCGACTGCGTCCCTTCACGCTTGGCATTTGCAAAAGCCGCATCTGTATGAAGGCACAGTCTCAAGTCTTGCAAGGGTACTGCTTTCACATGCCATGACAAATCCTGATACTGCTTTGCTCGCTTCACCACATGCGCGACTGCTCCAAGGTTGGTTTCGGAAAAAGCTGCTGGCCCATGCTGACCTGTACCGCGAGATCTGGTCTCGTTTCCTTAGCCAACCACAGAGCACCACCGAGGACACTCCGCAGGCTCTTGACTTCCTTGTCATTCACCAACTCTGTTCCAGGGGCCCGGTTTCTCAACTTTGGCTTCTCAAGCTGGTTCACGAAATCAACCTGGGACACAAAGATGTCTTTTGTATCAGGACACTGTTTCAAATAAGAGCCGCAAAACTTGCCCTCGTCCATCTGCCACTTTCGAAACGGAAAAGTCTGGCGAAGCTTTCGGACGGCCCCATCGTAGCTGGAACCCTTGCCTCCTGTCAGAACATCATCCACATGCATCCCAAGAACACCTCCTAGTCCATGTTCTGCAGTGGGATCCCGCCAAAAGAACACACATGGGTCCAGCTTCGACTGTCTCTATCCTTGGGCTTGCAACGTGGGTACAAATTTGCTGTACCAAAGCTGAGCACTGTCATCGAACCCGTACAGTGGCTTCACGACTTCAAACAGGGTCTCAGGGTGCACTCCTGGAATGGTCACATTTCGGGGGCACTTGAGGTACAGTTTCCCAGCATCTCTCTTCAAGCAGTCTGCTTCCAAAAAAGGCGCCTGTAACATCTCGCAACTGCATCCTGAAACCACCGCTTGCTATCGCTTGCAGAACCACAAAGCGTCCGTTGGATGATACGGTGGGTGAGGCTGTTTTCCCCCCCTGATCAAATCAAACAGGTCCGGGTCCTTATCCCCTCGGGCAGTCCACCTCCCTTGTATAATCATCCCACCATTATCGTCCTCCTTCTCCACCAGCACATATCGGGAATCAACCAGACGATCGGGAAACTGCGCTGCTATCCGCCGGGATTCTGCAACCGAAAGAGGAACCAAAGCCTGCTTATCGTTGACCACATTGTTGTATTCCTTGAGAACACCAACATCTATTTCGGCTCTTGCCCTCGGATTCTGCCACTTGGAATCTCGCAAATTCAGCTCTTTCCGTCCTCCGGCGAGCAACACATCGTCGGTGCCTGTCCCAGCCCAGCAAACAAAGGAGGCATCATCGTCCTCTTCAACTCCGGGCAACTCAGACAGAGCAGTGGCTTGTCGTGCGTTGTCAATGCATCCAACGAACTGCGGGTCGGTGCCACTACCAGTCTCTGAAATGGTGATGGGTCCCCGGCCACCCGATTGACTCGGGGGTGCTCGCGGTGGGGGCTCACTGCTCCCAACTCCTGGAACTGGGATTCCTGGTGGAAACTGTTGACCCCCAACCGATCCGCATTCGCTTGCTTTCTGGCTCCAGCCCAGCATCGTGCCTTGGTACGTTGTCTAACCGATCAGCTTGCTCTATCGCATCCGGCGCCGCAGCCCGAAGTGAATCAGGTAACCCTGCAATCTGCTCTTCCCACGACTGCTGACTCCGGCTTCCGGACGATACCCATTCTGACTCTCTGCCGATGGGCTGCGATCCCAAGCCAGATCCGGACGATGAAATCGGAACCGCGTGTGGTGCCACGGGGGGAGCCTCTGACTGACTCACCCCT